GGAAACACAGCAAAAATTAAGTTCAATACCACTAATTTTGATTAATGTTGCTATTAATCAATTCAGATTTCTTTAACTAAAATAACTAGCAAATCAATCATCAAAATTGATAAATTGATAAATTGATAAATTGATAAAATGTATGTAATCACGAATAATTTAATCGATTGATGAAATTAACTATTAATCAAACTATTAATGAAATCAATTATTATACAATCAGTCACATCGAAGTTTGATTAATAATTTATTTCATCAAATAAAGTTATTTGTGATTTTATACATGACAATTAATTAATTTTCTTTAATGATTTGTCGATTATTTTAATCGAAGAAAATTTTCATTGATTAATGCCTAACACTAGTGATATATTTGCAAGTTGTTGTGTGCAAAATAAACTTTATAAATAATAGAACAATTAGAAAAGCTTTTAAAATCATTCTACAGATCATTATCTGAAGATTAATAGCGTAATAAAGGTAATTTTGTATTACAACAAAAACATTTATTCCGTACTATCGAATAAGTTATATTAGGAAAATTATTAAATATTTTACACACGAATTTTAGTGCGATAAAATTTACCTCATTTATTCATTTATTGAAAAAATCATTCGTGAAACCTTACTTTTTTCGCTTTAGAATTCTTATCCTTTCGCTTCTCAAGTACAGATCTGTCCTACAAATTGTCACACAGTTATTACGCAGTAATTCCTATTACGCAGTAATCTCTGTTACGCAGTCGTCGTATGTGACGTGTGCTCATTGATTGTATTTTTTGCGGATAGACTTAATATCGATTGTGACATTTGCTGCTTAGAACATTATATATGTCGACGACAGAAAATGGAGATTAAAACGAGCGACAGACGGTCGTGACACATCCAGTCGTAAATGCCTGTACTTTTGTGAGAATTTATGGTGTCGTGTGATGAAATCTGGTTGCTGCTTGAGGGAGAAAAGAGAGAGAGAGAGAGAGAGAGTTATCGCCTCCGTCCGCTCTGGTGTTCGCAGGATAAAGCAGCCTTTGGGGAGTAAGGGGCCTTCGCCTGTTCACACGAATACACCTGTCCGGTCTGGAATCCAGTCGCCGAAACCTACGATCAATGGATCGGATCCAGTCGCGTAAGTTCTCATGCTGCGTGATGTGAAAAGATCGCGATAGTCCCGCTGCGAGACGTACGCGAAAATTTACGGCTCTGTCAGAGGCGTTGCGTTATTTAATACCGGTAATTTGATATCCGTAATGTTCAGCGTCGCGGAATCTTTCACTTTCTTTCCGCCCGTCTGGACATTACATTTTCCTTGGCTCTTTCTAAGCTACATTCCGCTCATAGATCGTATCTTTCAAGCTAATGAATAAATCAAACCTTCACTTCTTTAGCCGCTTGCATTTGTGTTGTTAGCGTTCTAATATTCCAATACTTTATTTGCGAAGTCAATCTACAAGTAACATTTAGTCGATCTAATGATAATTTCGCGAGAACCGTCTAAAATAGTTGTATGTTTTGTTTGTTACAGAAGGCAAAACTCGGTGCCAGGCGGTATTTACGATTCGAGGGTGCCGGAAGGACACTACGACATTATCAAGCCGAAGGTAAGTCCATTACTTTGCGATAAAAAACATTTTGTATTTGTGTTGTGATCGATCTGTGTAAGGATTTTTGTGTTAAATTTTTCACCTACTTCTCTCGTGTGTTAATTTAACGTATTATCCTGTTAGTTCGATTATTTTACGTTGAATAAAATATTCACCGTATTATTCATTGTTAAGATATCACAATTTGTATGTACATTCTTGATGATATATGTTACATGTAAAATATATAGATAAGTTATGTGTTATTTGCCAGCATATTTTTGTTAAACTAACACAAAATTACAGTGAATCGGAGCATAGGTTAAATTTAACACAAAATTTCTTACAGCGTGAACGTTGTGTTATGTCAGGCATTACTTCCCATTTTTACAAATTTACAAATTTCGCATTATAGTGGAAAAAAAAAATGATTGATCTAATACAAATTACAATTATTTTTTACCTCAACCATATTTTTTGGTTGTCCTGACATGAAAATAGTAGTAGAAACATGCATATAAAGTTATCATCACTAACAATAGAATTTAATTAAAAAGATAATCTTTAGTCATATAATTTATAATAATTATTTCTCTATATAGACTATAGTTACAAGTATCAAACATTTTTTTCTCAGTGCACTTTTATTTCTAAGACAGAAAAATACATTTATCAAATCAGTCGAAAAATTTGGTTAGATTTGAAAGTGACGTCACATACGAACAATACAAGCAACCATGTTGACAATATTCCGTTGCCAGAACACGTTGACGAAGCAGAACAGCGGTGATTACTTGATTGACGAATAATTTGTTCCCATTGGATACTAAATCAAGTGAAATTTGATTAAAAAATAGAAACAAACTTTTTGATTGATCCAATATTGACGATATTAAGTATGCACGATTATTAATTACGTACGATTATTTAATACGATAATTTATCATCGAATAGCTCATTACTGCGAAACACATGGATGCATTTACTTCATATCGTATAATTCTTTTATTATCGTATCCATAATCATATGTTATATTCCGTCGTTAAAAAAATTGCATGATAACTCGTCAGTGTACGATTTGTGAACCGTGTACTTTCTACTTGCTTTTCCGTATTTCCATAAACGTCGTTAAACCATAACCCGCTCAAAGTGTCGTCCGTAATTCGCTAGAGAAACCGGCTTTCCCGCATTTTCCACGAATTGATTGAGATACTGGGCACGTACAGCCGATCTGTGTGTCTCTATCTTTCTCTCTGTATGTCACTTCCGGCGTAATATACAAGAAATCGTAAGTTCGTTACTGCGCTATATTTACGCCAGGCAACGTTCGCTATATAAATGACGCGAGGGCGCCGAATTTGAGGGGATATGTGCGCGTAAATAAATCACGCGCGGGTAGGAATTGTTCGATATTATATATAAAATATCCGGATTGCTAAGATCATCGCACTTCATAAATTCGTTTGAGCACGCGCCAGATCTGTTGATATTGATCGTTGCAGAGTCTCGTCGTATTATTCAAATAAAAATTTTCTTTACCAAACAAAATCAAATGTACTTTCGAAGTTTTAATCATTCTTATGAAACCAAATAAATAATATTCCCGAGTCAAAATTTTGGTTCCCCGTTAATAAATTCCACCGATTTTGAAGAAACAACGGATAATCTCGAGATATATCGCACAGACCCCTCATGATGTTACAAATGCTTATTTTTGCCATCGTTTTGTGTTGAAGTGTAAAGAAGTACTTTCTTAAAATGACTTACGCACGTTGAGTGCTTCAAGTGATTCTTCAAGCCTCAAACATCGAAAAAACTTTTAATCATTTGTATCAAGACAGGACAATAACTTGTAAAGTATATCTCAAGGTTCTCCATTAATATAATTTCGACGGTTTATTCACAGGATTAACATAGAATCAAAATCTCGATTCGGAAATTGACTATATATTCTTTTCGGATGAAAGCTGTTCCGAGTTTCTCTTTGCTATCGATCCAGTATTTTTCTACAAGACAGTTTTTAATAGAAAAACAACAAAACTCTCGCACCAGTCTAACACATCGAATGTATGGTAACGCAAGTTACATCCTCTCGTTTCTCTCAGACACAAGTTTCTCTAGCAGCCGCGGCCTTGTTTGTTCAAGTATCCTCTGGCGCATTATTCTTGATACGTAAAAGTTTCAAACACTTTTATACGCGTCAATATCGAAGGAGATTCAAATCGAAAACTAAGTCGTTTATTAATTAATTGGATGTGCAACGTTCACCTTTATTTATCTCAATTCAACCATACGTCGTATTTGCCTCTTATTGGCTCGTCTTCTTCGTATTTAATCGAACATCTAACAACCTTTTATTGCTGAAAAATCCTCGTGTATATAATTCGTGTAGACATTTGCGATTTTTGTAAGCGAGTTAAGCAGTACTTGTAGAAATTAAAAAATGTGTATTCACTTATTTTTATTTAAGAATTTTATCTCGAAACCATATATATTTGGTTTATACCGTAAGATAAAAAGATTCAAGTCCATGATTTATCTTAGCGGTTTGTGACAGAATATCTACTTCCGCAAACACTCGTCATTAGAACAAAATATTTGTTTTAAAAGTTTCATTACCTTCACGTGAGTCATCTCGCGAATTTAGAATCGCTTGTAAGAGGCGCTTTATCTTTGTCGATTAGATCTATTATCGGCTTAACTCTCTTTGTCATTGATTAGTCATGGTTATCGTGAAATAGTCAATTAAAGACTGTAATTGCCTCAATTACGAGTTAACTGCGGAACAATTTTTCGTACGCCCTTTTGTTCGACTTCGCATTCCTTCTAACAAAGATCCTTCGTAATGTTCTGTCTCTTCTGTTCAAATTTTATTTGTCTGTATGTTGAATTTCAATTTTACGTTTTCGTGAGATTTCATGTTTTTTACTTTGCAATATTTTGCTTCTTTCATCCATTTTCCTGCACACAGAAAAGTATCATTCTACTGATAAGAAAAACGATTATATTCGGTTTATTTTTCTTCTTTTAAATAACAGTTATATTCAATAAAGAATATTTTCTCTTGGTGATAGTTTTAAAATATATAACTCATCGCAAATTTTAGGAAAACTCATGCATTAAAAAAAAGAAGGATCTATTTTCTTTTTATATTAATATAAATCTTCATTGAAGAAAAGATGAGTTTGACTTTACGCAATAAGCAAATCGAACTTTTATTTTAATTTAATATTATAAATTGAAATGCTTATTAGAATTCAGAATGTATTTTAAATAAATTTAAATAAATATATTTTAAATAAATTTAATGCCTGATGAGAACTTGTGATATAAACTTATAAAATACTTGAAATAAGTAATATTTACTTGAATGTAGTATACATTTTTTTTGTATGTAAAATGTATTTTCATAAATTTATTATAATTGTATGTGAAATGTATTTTCATATGAATTTTTCGAACTAACCGATAGTACAAATTACTTTTTAAATTGTACAAAATTTACGTAAGGTTACAGCAAATCATTTAATACGTGCAAAGCATATGTAGTGTATCACGATTTATCGCAAGAAGATTTGCTCAACTAGTTCTGTGTGTACTCAATATTCCTCACTGTATATTTCAAGCTTATTCGCGATATTATACTTGGTAATGGATATTTGCAATTCGTTGTATCTCTAGTTATCCTTTAAAATCAACAATTCCCGAAATCACAGAAACGTTCAGAAACACGTGTAAACACTGTATTAGTGTCCTTCGAGCAATCGCTGAATGTACATCTAAACTGATTTCGTGTACGGAATTTTATTATCTCGACAACATCGCCGTGTGTTTCACGTATTATTTCCAAATTGATATCACAAATCAAGTACTGAGAAGACGATAATTAACGGACAAATTGATACAAAGATGGAACGAATACATAAAGCTTTGAAAGCGTTGCAGCCTTATGAGTATAATATGTTTTTCAATCCAAACGTTTGTCACGTCTGCAAATTGAGGATGAAAGGCGATTTGATATTATGCAATCGATGCCACATGATTTCCTACTGCAGCGAGGAGCACAAAAAAGTGCATCTAAAGGAACATTCTTATATCTGCAATCATATAGAAAAAGCATTAACGAAGATGTCAGAGTGGAGAATGCACCAGTTTTCCCCGTCCGAATGGTTCAAATCAAAGAAGGAATTCATGCAATTAGTCCAGATGTCAATATCACGCAAACTGCAGCCATACGAGAAGCAGATGTTGATGTTCACAAAATCGTGTTTTATTTGTCACCAACAGGTTGATCTGTTCACTTGCGAAATCTGCTATTCCAGCAATTTTTGCTTGGAGCACTTTCAATTGTTTGCTACACATCATGCTTCCGAGTGCAAGAATCTAATACTATTATTCAACTTGAATCTTGCAAAAATGCAAGAACTTGTGAAACCGTTATATATATACAATATCACTGATTGCCGTGTTAAATTTGATATCTCAGATACTCCTGATATGACTGCATTTGTCACAAAGTATGCATATAATAAAAAGAACCGAATAAGCACGTTTGAGTTCTTAAATCTATATGTTTATACTGAGTATATATCTGGGCCGTTAACGCTCTATTATGGAATATGTGAAACGATGTCACCATCTTTTGTAAATGAAAACTTCTGTATTCATGTTATTGCCGCAAACTACATAGATGAGGAAGGTTTGCATACTTGGGAGTTATTGTTACATCTCTTCCGCGGTATAAAGAATCTGACAGTTGTACTGATAGGGCCAAAATTACAGGATTCCAAAACTCGTGACGTCGATCTCTGTTATCGTTGCAAAATTTACGATCAATACTTCAATTATAAATGTTATCCTATGTTGTACCACGATTATGTGTTCTCTACCAATTATATATCACCATCGATTGTCATAGGATTTCAAGCAAATTTCGAAAAAAACACATGGTTCGAATCCATACAAGCATTACGATATCAATGTTGCCCGTTATTTTTAACAGCCTTATCTAAATGTAATATGCAAAATAATATAATTAGAATAGAAGAGATTCTGGGTGCAAATGTAACACCTGCGCTTCAGCTAAAAAATAATTACAGTAGTCTTTGCCCATACAAAGATTTTAATACCGATTCTGTATTTTATCGTAATGAAGTATTAGTTATCTATAAGGATTTAATCGATAGAAATGAAGCAGATACCAGTCTTTCTACATAATTTTATCATTTTTTTGTGTGTGATAGTTGTTAATATTAATATCAATATATCAATATATATATATATATACATATATATATATATATATATATATATATATATATATATATATATATATATATATATTATTTTATATATATATTTTTTATTTTAGCAGTTTTTTTATAAAATATATTTTATAAGATATTGATTCAGAAATGCATTAAACATAAGTTGATAGCAAGTCGTTTAATGACAATACAAACTGTCGTTTACCAAGCTTATCTCAGTAACTGACATAGTAACTGATGTACAGATGATTGTTCTTTAAGAGGTATTGCAAATATTAATAACTACTATAGGATTTTTAATGATGATCTGAAGAGCGAACCTAGATATGATAAAACCGCGGGTAATGTCGGAAATGCTTCTGCGAAAAATGCTCAATATACAAGAACTAGACGTATGCGAAAATTGTGTTTACATAGCGTGATCCACTCTCGTATTAACATTTTTATAGCATTTTGATAGTTATATGTCCAAAAATATATTATATTAAATCATTCTTATACAAAGTGTCTGTGAATTTCTTCAAACAATATGATTTTTAATTTTTATTACGGATTACTTTGAAACTAGAAACGTATAACTCATTTTTAGAAAAATTTCAATGAATGTAAATGTTTAAAGCCAACACGATACAAATGTTTTCGCGTAATAAATTCTCCTATATTATATCGCAGAATGTTTTTAACGACTTTAATTCTTTCCTCAATTTCTCATTTAAATTATTCAGCATATAATTATCAATACACACACATATGACACATATATAATTGTAATTAACAAAAACTATTTATTAAAATACAATTTTTATATGAAAAATGTTCCCACAGCAAGATTGTCATGTATTATTTGAATTACCTTTTATCTTTTTAAAAGAAGAAGCAGTGAATCAATTTTGTTTAACGACTTCAATCAATTTATTCTTTGCTGTTATCAATGTTTCTTTTCTAGTCCTCAATTAAAGATCAGATTTTTAATTTTATTTGCGATTATTTCTAATTTTATTTGCATATGTGTGCAAGTTTTTATTATTTCATATTGCTCGAGACGGGACACAATATCGATTTCGAAGTTTTTGGTTTTTCATCAGTATAATTTATCGCGTAATATTCTTCTGTCCGACAATTCGAATGTGATAGTTAGCCAACGTACACACATAACGCGAAATTACCCGTTTCCGCGGTGAAACATTCGTATTCGGATGGTACAACAATGGTATTCAGTGCGACGTCAAAGATTTGCATATCAATTGCCCTTTTTGTCCCCTGTGGCGGAAATGTCGCAGTGACGGGAAAAAAGAGCCGGATAACGGCTCATTTACTGCGAACAGAAGTGACAAACGGCCAGGTGATGTGACTAACGTATGAAATTCAATCGCAAGAATTCGTGAGTTTGTTTACGCGAATATACCTTTCGAGAGTAATGGCTTTAAATAAAGATCGTTCAAGAAATGTATTTTTCTAATTAAAGACGCAATTTTTACGTTCATTGCTTTAATTTCATATGTTATGACAATTAATTTATGACCGTGCAATATTATTTCATTAAAAAATGTAAACATTATCTGCTTGATAATAATGCTGCAGTCGACCTTCATTTATCATAAATGTCCTTCTTTTCTATCTTATCATTCTTGCTATTGTACACATTTTTCATATACGAAAAACTGATCCATCGGTTATTTAGTTTCGATGGCTCCAGCTTTCAACCAACAACAAACTTTTTCATAATTATTATAGAAGATTTATGTAGATAGTCGGGGACACACAAAGAGGAACGAAACGTTATTGTGAAAACGCTCTGGGGCTTTGTTCTGGGCGCGTATCTAGTGCTAAATATGCCTTCCTGATTTTCACAATCTGACATTATACATTCTTAAACAACGTTATATGTGACGTTCATGTAAGAAAAACAGAAAGACTGTTGGAACTGTAAAGACGTGTTTAACGCTCATTATGCAAATAAGGCCTTTGTAGAAAAAATAATAAAGGTTTAAATCAATCTTGCTTTTGTATATCGTGACATAAATTACTAATTATCGAAGAAACAACGTCGGAGTGAAAGCACGTTAGATAATAAGACTGAAAGCTCTTATCCGAGGTTTATCTTCTTGGAAAACAAGTATCACTGATCTCGAATCAGCGACCTCGATGTTAATAACGCGATACACATTGTGCGATGCAATAATCTCGCGGAAGTGCCATGACGTCAGGCTAGGTGTGGGTAACCGTAGCTGCCAACGACGCATTTTATCATTCTCGCTGCATCATTGACTTCCTAAACTCTTCGATTCGCGTCGTGATTCTCGCGGCACATACGCGTACTCGCGCGACGATGTCCCACCATTTTACCGTTTCGCCGGGTCTCAGGCCGCTTATTTGTCACTTATGTCGCGAGGGCTTGGCACAGCATCGCGCTATGCGCATTCTTTTATTTATTCGTGCGACGCGATACATCATACTGTCAGAGCCGCGTAAATCTTACGACTGTAACGAAGATTGAGATGTCGCGCCCTTGTAAGTGTGTCGACGATCTTGCGTGACTCTTACTTCTTAGTTTCACTCGTTTGTCTTTGCATGATCAATTTAACGAATCGTTCATCGGTTCATGAAAGTTCACGTTGACATACCTAGATAACATTCATCCGTGTCCTACATTTCGTGCCCGCGCGCGCGCGCGCGATTTGCATGCGTCTGAGATCGTCGTGAACATGATGACAGACCAGTGCTTGATGCTCGATTTAATAAAGTCCACGAGCAGTTTCTCTTTAGTGAGAATTCTGTAATATCTCTCCTTGTGTATGATCTCCATTTGATCATTAGGTTGGCGGGAAATATTTGCCGCATTTGTCGAGTAAAATTCCGAACAAAATTGTCCGGATTGAAAGCATCGCTTTTCAAGGAACGGGAAGCCTATTTATACACTGTATATTAATGATGCTTTAGTTTTTTCCGCTACATCACACAGGCCTGCAGTAATAGTTGTGCTCTGAAGTTGTCTTATGAGATTTCTTTCAGATCTAGATCCAAACCTTTTAGTTGAATTATATAATATACGTGACATTTGAATCTCTCTAATCGCGATTTAACTAAAAAAAAACTGTCATCTAAAGTCAGTATCAATAGTCGTGACTTGGAACTTGTCTCACCTGAGATATTCGGATCAGAACTGCGAGCTAAATTTGAGTTTTCTATTTGAATCATATACGTGACTTCATAATTGTGTAATCACAATTCAAACTGAAAAATTTACATTGAACACTATAAGCTCAAATCTAAATATTTTAAGTGAGAAAAGCCTCATGTAATTATTAATACGGTCCAATTCTGAATTCAAATTTGAGTGTCTTGAAACAAGTTTCAAATAATGACTATTAATACAGACTATAAACACGTATATATTTGAAACTTTCACAAATTACTGAAGTCGTTGAAAAACCCGGCTTTTAAAGATAAATTATTTTTATGATTAATAATAATTAAACTGAACAACATCGACTTCGCATTTTTACATCTAACAAGGCCTTTCTATTTCCTTCGTAATTGGCAACTTTCTCTGTCAGTCAGAGTTTATTAAGAAAAATAGCAAATTTTTTGCACCAATCTGGCAAATCTAAGATATTTAATATTTCGTTCTCATATGAGAAAGTTCCTAAATTGAATGATTCCTGAATTTCTAAGTAATTGTCAAACCGTGAACGTTTCTAAGTTGACTAGAAAACAGGATTCTGCGCTACTACGACGAACGTTCGCGGATAAACCGCAACGGCCACCGCGCGACAACCTGGTGCGACCTCCGGACTCCTACACTCGAAATTCTAATGCCCATTCTCGCGCGACGTTAGATAATCCCGTACTTATGACGCAGCTGACAAATGCAAACCCATTACACGCATGAGCGCACCGATGTTCATCATCGTCGCCGCCGCCGCTTCACAATTAGAAGATGCATCACGTTACCGACAAAAATGGTGCCGCTGCGTGGGCACTTCCCCGAGATTTTTCGACGCGTAACGCGTTGAGAAGCGGCCTCATGGCTGCTGTTGTACATTATTGTATTTTTTCGTGTAGGGTTATCGCGATGTTGAGTCGGATTAATCGAGAGTTTTGAACGCTCCCCGCTCTACTCTCTCGCGAAATTGCGAATTCGTGAGCGCTCTGACAGACGCAACAGTTGACATGTGAACCCACAGATGTAACGCGACCCTCGTGTTTGCGCGCGTGTCGCTTTTTCAAATGGGCACATGTATACCCCTTAGCAAGCTGCAAAATCCGCTATTTACCTCCCGTCGCCAAGGTGAGCCGGCATTGATCACCGCGTCTTCGTGTAGGTGTCACGCGGAGAGGCCAGCTAACTCGATAACCCACAGATATACTCGCGCGCGAATATATCCCTCCGACAATACGTGACTCGTAGCCGTGTGCGCGGTAGTTGCATTTCGCGCGATTTAAATTTTATGATACTTCGTGACGATCCCGCGCTCCAAGAAGTAAACGCGCATCAGTCTTCTTCGCGTGAAACGTGACGTACCTTCAGGGAATCGAGTCGCGCCTTTAAATAAAGGCCTCCGTGCGTGAAAAAAGTTATATTTAATATTCACAATCTCGTGCGCCACATATCTTTATGTATACAGAGCAATTTGAAAGGAGTCTGAAAGGAAGTAATTTCGATTTTCTCAATAATTTGCTTGCATTTCTATATGAATTCATATAATTTCTATAACAAATAATTTTTTAGTCACAAAAATAAATAAAAATAAATAAGCGATGATAATTGTACAGTGAATTATTCATGAGATGCTCTAGAATAATGCAAAATTATCAGAAGAAAATATGAAGTATCTTGCACTGAGAAATAATAGTTGAAAATTCATTTGTGGGATGTAAAGTTTATTTCTGTGAAATAACATTTATTTCTGTGAATAAACTTTATATTACGCAAATAAATTTTCAAATATTTCTTTTTCAGAGTGTGTGTAAAATATCCACTTTCCAATCATCTCATATTTCAATTTATGGAAACATTTACCGTCCTGTATCAACACACCATTTGTTGCTGGTACTGGTACTTTGTTAAATTAACAGAACTGTTTCCCTCAGTGTGTATTTATATTAATTGCATAATGTAATTAATAATTAACGCAATAGTGGATCAACTTGCATAATAAATATAAATTTTGAAGGTCATATATAGTTTTCCGGTTGGCAAAAATGTTCTATGCATAAAGTTTTCCTGAATATTTCATCTAAAATATAATACGCGGTAACCACCTGTATCTCAGCTTAAGAGGACCCAAGTAAAAATTGAAATATTCCCTGCGGTTTAGGAGAATTCAAAAGAATTTTGCGCGAGATTATTCGTGTCTCTCGGCTTGTACTGATTTTAAAACCTCGCATTTATTTACATTTCTTTAAAAATGAGCTGCACACTTTCTGTTTCTAACTTGCATTGAGTAACGATTGAAACCTCGTTTGATCGTGAACTACTGAATTTATAGCATCGCGATCTAAATTCGCAGAAATCTTGCGCGTCTATACGGATGCACTCGCAATCCGTATTGCGTCTGTGGAGAGAACGCAGTTACAGCTCCATCTTGTTGAGCGTATAGAGGAACATGTATCCGTTCACCAGATACTATATCCGCACCAACGCGTGTTCTGTTCTCCGTAATTAAGAGTAGATGGCGTTAGTCAATTATTATGGTAAATAGAAATATTTTTTGGACGAGTGTTTTAATATTTCGCGGTTGATATTCTCTCTTCACTCGCAATAAAAGAATAATATACTATTATGCATATAGATATCACACGCATAGAAACAATAATATAAATTATCAGAGGTGGTAAGCGTAATAATATTTAAAAAATTTTATTTTGCCCTTAAAATATTATTTTAATTTTTTAAATTTTCTTTTTGATCTTTGCTTGTCTAGTTAAAGTCGAGTTATATATTATATGTTTAACTTTGACTTGTTTCCGTCAGTTTCCGGTTTAATATTCAAACGATGTGACAGTGTCGTAATACTAGAGTGTTTTATACGAGAGAATAATCTTAGAAGGTGCGTGTTGCGCGAACTATCATTTTCCCGGACTGCGAATGAGTCACTTTCCATTCTAGTTTATAACGATCTGCAATACAAATGTTTTTTCCTCACACAGAGATGTGGGAAGTTGTCGCAGAGACCAAAACCGTACGTCTCGTCAAAAAGCTGCTTATTCAGCGTTTCTCATTCCCGTTTTATAGAATCGCGAATTATACATGGTTCCGTGCCGTGACGTGCTATATTTTACGCCTCTTTTCATCTCAACTAGATTGCACGCGAGACATATCGATCTCCACTTCCATATAATTGCTCAATTCTTCTTTTATTATCTGTTTATACTTACTTTATATACGTGTTTATACATTTACTTCTTACTTTTTATGCGCTTGACCTTGCTCCAAAGGTCGCTTAAATGTCTAAGAAGAAGTTCTACAATTGTTTGCTCTCCACTCGACCTCCAAGGGCCTCTCATAGGTCAACTTGCGTCCGATCATTAAAAATTTACGTAATCAAAATGATAGAGGACTGTGATTATATACCAATTTTCTTTAATCAATAACTCAACATTTTACGTGATGGTTTACGAATTTCGTGTTCAGTTTCATAAATTTCTACTCGTATGCAACGAGTGTGTCATGATTTGTTAGACACCCTATGCACAGGCTGTTTCTCACGAAGAAGAACAAAACAGTATTTGCTCGACGGCGCATCGCGCATTACTCGGCGATGGCGCCGCGGGTTGGCCTGCTGTGCATCACACTGCATCAACGAGCATCATCATCTGTGTCACGGTGGCAAACCGGGTCCCATAACGCGCGGCTTCTGCACGCGACCTGATTCCGCCAGGGTCATATCGATGTTCGCTGTGGCAGTTTTGCGCGACAAACCCATAAGGTTTGACCTAATATGGATACTTCGCCTTTACGAATGGCACCGGCGCCTGGTGGGGATCAGCCACGGAGAGAACTCCTTCGAGGTAGCACGTCTCTCACGTTCCGCGGTATCCCAGTACCTCATCGGACGTGTATTACGACGCACACGCGTTTTCATATAGTCACGATCGCGCGCGCGCTCCCACCACCACTACCATCGCCACAGCACGCTGTCGTGCAGCATGCCGGTTGCTTAACGAACCGCGAAGAAAGACCAAAATCTGTCGGTTCGTCTCACGACGTCGTCTTCAGTCGCAATACACCTGAGCCGAGTGAGCCGAATCGAGCGAGAATTGGTCAGCTGTGAATTGATCCTGTGTCAATACCCGTAAGATGTCATAAGACTGGACATTTTTGGGCCGGTGTTGGACTCATCGTCCAATCGGACAGAAATTGTCACCGCTGTAAGCCCTACGTCTACTGAACAAGGTATATCTTATACAATAATATTGTCTGCTGAAGATAATATGAACACGAGCGATTGCTGAGATATAAGCGAAAAAATTCCGTGGCTCGAGCTGGATGTGAGGTTTGTAGTTTATCTGAAGATAAACTACAAAAGAGCGAGAAGACGCAGGAACTTTTTTCGTACCTCTGGACGGCATTTCAAAGCGATACCGTGAGGTGTCGTTACAGTAACGCAGGTATTACATTACAACAGAATGCACGGTTGATGAACATTGGGATCAAAACAAAGTATTTCTCGCTTTGGCATTATCAGGGTCGAGAGGTTCGTGCGAGAGCTAATTAGCATCCCGGTAGCCGTGAAAGTCACCGGGCGAGACAATCCGAACGAATTCCTACGTAAGTGTCCGGACAATTATGCGAGGCACGAGCGAAGCGCGGAAGCCGTGTACTCGCAAGGTCGAACAGTAGACGCTCCAGCGAGAGAAGGTCCGTGAGATACGAGCGCGAGTCTCTGACCGATCTCTCATTGCGAGCACAGATTCTTTGCTGTGTATCACAAGAGCATGATGTCGACGTCGGCGCACCAGCAGGCGGCCATACGCCGCCTCGAGGCCCTCTTCAGGGACGTCAAGCTGGAGCAGCTGCAGCACAATCCCGAGTTGTTCAAGCACGAGATCAAGATCGACAAATGCTGCGAGATCCACGGCAAACACGCGAAGGAGAACTGCTGGAGCCGCAGAGGCTCCCTGAGTAACGCTCATCAGATCAAAAAAGATACCGTGGGACGTCACGACGCTCACAACAGTTACGCCGCCACGTCGCCCACCAGAAGAGGATCCCTAGGCCCGTCGTCTTCGAGGAAAGAGCTGCACCCTTCGACCTTCCCCAGCACTCTGAGGAAGAGTCCCTTGGGATCATCCATGAGCGCTATCAATCACACGAGGAAAGATGCGTTCTCGAACACCATCGGCAGCTCGCCCCTTCGAAGAGACCCCATAGGTCGTTCTATGGGTTGCCTGAGGAAGGACACGATGTCGAACTACAACTCTCCGCTGAGGCGGGACTACGTAGCGAAGTCGATGACGAGTCTCCAACGGCCGGTGGCGCGGCGTGACGCCGCTCCGAATTTGGCCAGCTTGTTCACCAGCTCCGCGGACGTCGCCGGCCGGGTGGGCTTGAAAAGCAGCCTGAGCACGTCGAATGGCGACCTCAAGGCGCGCAGCTACTCCAACGGGAACCTGAAGAGCTGCCTCGCCGGCTCCAGCGGTAATCTCCGGAGCAACCTGAACGTGACCTTGAGCGGCGAGCCGACGTCGGCTAGCGCGACATCGAAGAAGGACGGCAAGCCTGCGACTCCGCACACCGGCGGAAGAAGGGGCTCCTACGATCGGCGCAGGCTCTCCACGGATTCCCTGGATAATCCGAAGAGAAACTCGTGGGATCCAGGTCGTAGGGGCTCCTCCGGCTCCTCGGGCGGATGGGACGATCCGATTTGGGAGGAAGGAAGCGGCGGGACCGATCAGGTAATGAGTCTTGTTTACCTGCCTGGAGAGTTCGCGTGAAAGGCCCGATGATGCCACCCGACGATAAGTGGCTGACTAAGCCAATGCGCTCATGCTTCTTTAATGACGCGCTTACACCGACACCAAGTTGGTGTAGATTACGAGAATCGAGTGGCGAATACCTCTCGTTGGCAAATCATTACTCGCGCGACGAGGTTAACGACGGTTGCTCTTATGCGATTTTTCATCAAGAGTCGGAGTGCTTGATGCACGATGTCGCGTTGAGAAGGACGTGTGCTCGCAGGCGCGCATTGTGTTGGTTTCCCACGAGTGACAAGGGAAAATGTGTCAGTTCGCCGGAGAAACCCAGTCGGCCGGATTGTTGCACGAGAGCGAGTAAAAATTGATCGGTCCTTGTTAGGCGATCCCACATACAAGAGCGACTCCGCGTGAGAAGTCTCCGGGTCTGTTAATGCGCACGCTAAATATTAGGTATGCGGTCGGATGTGAAACGTACGTATCCACGGCACAGTTACGCGGTAACCCGCTGCCTTCGCGCGGAAAGCAGCCGAGCGGAACGGACGAGCCGCGACGAACCTGTCGAATTTTGCAGACTAATCCTTCGTGACGTAGGGTACGGCGTAGTTGAAACCGGTGTCTGCAGATCGAATCGCGACTTCAATGTGCGACGTTGGTACAGCGCGGAGACACGTGCTCGCGGAGCCGGAAACCTTGCAAAAAGTATCAAATCGCAATCGCTAAGAAAGCATAAGTTATATGAACGTAATTGACAGAATACATATCCGTGAGTAGTCGGGTATTTTAAGTCAAGGTATCTCTCAGATATTACGATTCAATTGAAACGTAAAACGTAATTTGTTGGGCACATTAATCGATTAAAATTTTAGTTGATTAAAATAATTGGGAAATCAATAATCAAAATTAATCAATCGCCATGTATGTAATTACGAATAATTTGATCGATTGATTAAATTAATTTGATTAAATTAAATTAAATTAATTAATTTCATTAATTATTAATCAAATTTTGATGATTGTGAGTACATTCTGATTAATAATCAATTTCATCAATCGATTAAATTATTACATATATGACGACTAATTAATTTTGGTTGTTGCTTGACCAATTATTTTAATCAACTGAAATTTTTCTTGATTAAATGTCCAACACTGGTTAGTGCGTACCATATTATACTATATATACTGTCAAATTGAACGTAGATATATTTTATTTTTGTTTTTCGACTCGATTGAATTCGAAATACATATTATAAATTAATTTTTGTAGAACACATACGCGCATTACATAAATACGTGAAATCAATTTCTGCCAATTTTAAATACAAATGACCTGATTGTTGCGTGGGCCGCGCGAATGAAATTTCACCAATGAAATATTATCACTTTTAAATATATTTACGACGTCGAACGCCGAATTCGTTGACTTTGTGCCAATTCCGATCTCTTCGCGACATGTTTACGTTCGATTAAGACCAAGTTGCGTTTTATATAAATAACCTCACTTGTCTCAAAGAACAACATTCTGACTCCGTCTGATGTTTATCTGCGCATTGCTTGACAATTTCGAGTCCTATCGAGATCGTGTCGATAAGAAATTAATACTTCGCGGGGTGTGCCGAGGGTAGGAGGGGGGAGTGAGGGTAAGAGGGGCCGAGAACATTTCTGGTACGCGCTTACGTCACCGACGTGCCTTGCATGGTATGAGAGTGTCGCGCGGTGTTAGTCATCACATCGAAACGTTACGATAGCATTTCACTAATAGATAGAGAGAGAGAGAGAGAGAGAGAGAGAGAGAGAGAGAGATACGTACTCCACCTGACTCTGCGTCTCCCGATATATTCGGCTTGATTGAGGACTGTTAATTACATATCATTGTCATTCGATGATTCTCATCGTCGATGCGATAACCGCTGGACGATCATCGTTGAGAGCGGAGCTGAAATTGGCACGTTGCGCAAATATTTATCCCACTCTGCGTGTTGCTGAAGGCACAATAAGGAGAAAAGTCAATATCTGTTTATAGAGTCGAGACTCACGTAATTTCATTTCGAGTCCTTTTCGCCTATTACGCGTGCAACAGTGAATAGTATAATCACACGGTCGTATATTAAAAGGGAAAAAGAGTTGCTGAAAAAAATTTGATCAAACAATTTATCGATCACTAATGTTTTATCACTCATATTAGTTTACTAGTATTTGACCACTATTTTTTATTAGCGTTATTTAAATACTAATATTTTATTACTAATATTTTATTAATGATATTTTATATTAACACGTTCGATCTCGCGATTTATTCGGATGATTCTTTCCCCAAATAGACCATACTTTATATTTTCTTTTCTTTTTTTTTTACATAATTGTGTAAACAGATTTGATAATATGGACATATCCAGAAAAGAATTTTTGTCTTCACACACATGTGACGCTGATAGCGCGAACGTGTTAATTAATACCGTGGTGTGATTGTTTTTCAACACCATCACACGAAAGATAGTTCGATGCATTTTTCCCAACGCGAAGCAAGTGTTCATGTTTATACGTGGCTATATGTGGAAAATCCACGCAGCCTTTGTTCGGCGCACAATAAGCATTGCTTTCACTTCGTCATCGACGGAGAAAGAAATACTTTTAAAGTCTCTTCCTTTCTTTAAAGTTTCTTTTAAAACTAAGAACGAAGATTGGAAGTTGCGCGTCAGATCCGAGTAAATTTTTTTTGTGGTTATAAAAGTTTTTTTTTTTAACACAATCATGTTAATACAATCTGTCCATTTATGGACATTAAGTAATATTTGTGTTTAATTGTTGTCTGGCTGGGAGGGACCATGTGTTTCTTAACACATCCTTGTAGAGCATTTATTTATTAATTATTAGTTAATTAGATGAGTCTTAGGGCACCTTTCTCTTTAATTTGTCCCACGTGTGATACTTAAATATGAATTTAGAGTTAGATTTTTTACTTGAATCACACAATATATGCGATCGAATTTAATTGAAAGTATTTGATTAAATTTAATCGGATATAAAAATTTATCGGTATTTTGATTGGAAATATCCGTTTGTTAATTTTTCTCAGTGAAGAAGATTGCGCTGCAAACACGTCGATTGTTATTATTTCTTAATACATCTTCCTAGCGAAACAGGCGGAAAATATGTTCGCGTAAAGTATCGTCTGTCGATGTAGCTCAGTAATAACGACGGTGCGTTCGGAAAATCGTGCCGAGCGAGAAAATAATCCGCGTTTGTCAGGCCTCGTTGTGCCGGCGTTTCGCCTCTGCTCAACCAGCGCTGGCTTCTGTATCGTTACGGTACAATGTGCGCACGGCTCTCGTTCGTCCGGTAGGCGACGTATTTCCGCGCATTTCCTGAAACAAGTTCCCCGCAGGTGTAACCTGACGCACCTACGCAACGGCGCTCGGCCCTGAGCGATAGCCCACGCTCGCTCCGACCAGGTTCATAATTCACATTTTTACCGGACTTCTTTCCGCCGTCCCACCTCCCGTCGATCGGTTTTTCTGTGTAAACGGGAATCACGCGCGCGCGTATGATCCACGTCGATCGGCGCGCTCGATATGGTCGAAAGCGAGGGTTTCAAAGTGACTTATTGCGTCATTAAGCTCATCCGATTTACATGACGGACGCTGCAGTCGACTTTTTGTGACTCTTCATCATCACTCGAGAGAATCGTGATGTCGGATTTTTTTTTATCGGCGGATTGTTAGAGAACGACAACTCAATGAACATTTCTAAACGATACAATCGAGAAAATAAATGTTTTTTCATTGTACACGGAGAGAATATTGTGCTTTATTTTTATATAAATTCTTTTCAATTTTACTATATTTCCAGCAATGCAAGAATATACTCTCAGTGAGATCTATCTTGTTAAGGAACAAGTGAATCTCCCTCGAAACATAGTAAATTTTTTAATAGCACATTTCACAGTCGCTAAAATATAAATAGCATATAAAATAAAAGGATTGTTAATTTTACTATGAAATTCTAATTTTTACTATAAAATTCTCTCCGTGTATTTATTCTTCTAATATTTTCTTGTGTATTTATTCTTCTAATATTTTCTTGTGAAATACGTTAAATATGTTTTTTAATTCTAAAGAACATTGAACTAGATTCAATCACTATTGTATTATTGTAAAGATACAAATTCCATTATACATTTTTAATTCACTCTAATCGCGATTATATACATATAATTTTTTATATATTCATACATATTATATTTTATGTTATATACATATATTTATATATGATACTGCATATTATATAATATTTTATTATTATTTATTTCTGTATGTAATAGTATACAGTTACCAAACATTTCTTCTTAAATGTGTGTCTCAGTGTATCAAATTTGTGAAAAAAATCCCGAGAGCAAGAGAAAGAGAGGAATATAGTGAGTTTAGATCGTTCAACGTGTGTTTTTATCGTTCCTCCATATACCACAGAGTTGTTATTCCACGCGGGGTGCTGTTACCCCTCCGTTCAATCTGCATCGCACGTGTTCCGCGAGCGCACGATGCTCTTTACCTACCTACCTACCTACCTACCTACCTACCTACCTACCTACCTACACGCGACTTTACGGTCGGTGAGCACGCGCGATTTTCCGCGTGTCACACGGCGCCGGAACCGTTTCGTCTCACGGTACGACATCCGAGATGATTGACCGATCGCCAGCGGTACCGTTATGAAAAATTGACGTTTATTGGCGCACAGGCCGGCCAAAATTGACCTGCGGCGGGGTAATGCGCTTCGCGTGTCACTGCGTGTCATCCTCGATATCGCAACAATTTTCCTTTCGCGTGACGATCATTGGCTGGAAGCGAGCATCTAGGTGGACCGTAATAATCAGCGTAACGGTCTGGTTAAACGCAAAAGCTGGATTTCGCCGTAAAACTTGATTTTTCAACCTGGCTGACTCAGTATCGTACAACATTGATAAAGAGAAAAAAGACCCA